CCAGAGACGTTTGGTACATGGCTACTGATTACTAAACTAAAAGAGACAAATGATGTAATACTGATGTAATTAATGTATTATTGATATTGTTACTATTATTAGGATAAGGTGATTGATGGGGTAATTAGTGTGGGCATGGTATTACGAGATTTGATGTATATTAATCATCAAAATTTAATTGAATTATTAATCAAAGTAATAATAATAATAATAATTGATATTTTATTACTCTTTTTTTCTTTTAGTATATTTCATTCATTAGTTTATACAGCATATTTAAATTACATACAGCTGGACTAGTATTAATACATGAAATATTGTCCAAGTAAATATTATGTATAATTAATAATATACTCCTCTCTCTCTCTCTCTCAGTTCTTCAAATATGAAAGAAACAGTTTGTGAATATTTCATTACATCATTAGTCTCCTCCTCCTCTCATGAATTACCAGCTGGTATTATTAGAGTATTACTATCTCTTTCCTTCATTCAGTATAATGAGTATAATAATGATAATGGACTCAACTCCACTGCTCAATGTAGTAACAATATTCTAATGGAAACTGTTCAAAGTAATTAACATTTTATTTAATACAATGTAGCCTCTTTATTAAGGTCACCATTGGGTCCACACTACCTGTCCTTAATACATGTACAGTGTAGCCTCTTTATTAAGGACACCATTGGGTCCACACTACCTGTCCTTAATACATGTACAGTGTAGCCTTATTATTGAGGACACCATTGGGCCCACACTACCTGTCCTTAATACAGAGGTGTCCTCATTTCAGAGGTACTTTTGTATAGGCTTGTACCAATTGGGACATTACAAAACGTCCTCATTATAAAGGTGTCCTTATTTCAGAGTGTCCTTATTATAGAGGCTACACTGTACATGTATTTTGTTTAATAGGAGATGTCCATTCTTCATCTGATCCAGTTATTATTAATATAATAGTTAGTGTCTGTAATGAACTCGGTCTCTCATTGCAGCTGTTTCTTGATGGCCTCCTTTCCTCTATCATCTCACATCCGCCATTTTGTAACGGTAAGTGTGGGCGTGGTTGTCTTGCCATGACAATGCTTGTGTTTTTTTGTAGCGAGAGAAATGCTGACTAGACAGAATGAGGTGACTTTGTCATGTATTGAAGAAGGAAAGTCAAAATTACTGAGCAAAGTAAACAATTTATCACTTTATTAATCCTCTCTCTCTTTCTCTCTGCCCCTCCCTCTCTCTCTCTCTGTCCCTCTCTCTCCCTCTCTCTCTTTA